TGATTGTGTATATATGATGTATCATTCAAATGGTCTCAATTGTGATAGACAATGAGACTATTTCCACTGATATTGCAAATAGTGCTATAATAGATAGTCTTAAGTATATGTCCTCTATGTGTTTGCTACTGAATCTTTGGAATGTATTTCTAGAAATAAGATATGTAGTGCAGATGATGAATGAATATAAGAGTTTTCTAGATGTTGTCAAATTTTCATCAATAACATATGAAGTGTTTTATTCTCCCACAGCCTTACAAACAGGCTTTGTTGATTTTTGGATGTTTTTCTAACTGGCATATTAGAAATGGATCTCAGTGAAGATTTGATTTGGATTTCTCTCATTATGAGTAAAGATGAACATCTTTCCATAGTTTAAGAATTATTCACACTTTTTTTCTGTGAACTGTTTTCCCTGATTCTGACCCATTTTTCCATAGTTTCAATTTTTTCTTCTTTTATCAGAAGCTTTCATTATAGTAGGAATATTAACCTTCTGACTGTGAAGTGAGTTTCAACTTTTTTCCAGTTTGTCATTTGTCTTTATAAATTACTTATGTTTTATTTTCTATGCACACAAAAGTTTTGTTTCATTTATTTTGCACAATAATATGTATCAATTTTTTAAATTGAATTTAGATTTTAAAACATGGTTAGGAAAGTTTACCCTACTCTCAGATAACAGAAAAAACTCCTCATGCTTCCTTTTCATAATTATATGAATTGTTTACATCTACATTTCTTAATTCATAAAGATTTAACATAATTCATACTATGAAAATTATATACAATCTTATTTTCTAGTATGACTATGTAATTATCTTAACATCAATTAATAAAATTTTCATATTTTTCTGAGTTAATTGTTTATATTGATTTTCCATATGTAATGTGGAGTCTATTTCTAAATTGTACAAGTAATATTCATTTACCTGTTTCTAGGTATGAGACAATATATACTATCTTAATTGTAGAGGCTTTACAACATATTTTAATCTGATAGGTTTGGTTTCCTCTCATTGCTCCTATTTTTCAGAATTTTCCCCAATGTTCTTGCTTTTTTATGCTCCAAATAAATTTTGTAATCAAATTGTTTCAGTCCATAAAAAAACATGATGGTTGTTTTATAAAAGTTGCATTAAATTAATTAACCTTGAGAGAAACAACATTTATTAATGATGATTCTTTCAACCTAAAACCATAGATCAATTTTTTTGTTTTGGTTATTTGTAATCTATTTTGGTGTTTTATAGTTTTCTTCATGTAGGTTTTGGACATTCCTTGTTAAGCATTCTAATTTATCATTATGATAAATAGATAATAGATACATAGGTAAATAATGAAATATTAAGGAATTTAATGATATTTTCACCTGCAGTACATGTTTATGTGCCCTCATCTCTTTTTACCTGCTGTCTTACAGTACATAAAAAGTACTGTATATAAAAAATCACTCACTCTTTCAGGGAGCATATTAACCAACCATAAAAACAACCTCTGTAGAAACTACATTGTTCAGCAACACAGTGGCAAATGTAAGTTCTTAAAGTTCAGTACTTTCTCTGGTTCTTCTTAGAAAAAGTGTCAAGATGTATATTTATAATAAAATGAGATACAACATAAACTATATGTACTTTATTATCATTGTCTGTTTCTTACTCAAATTATCATTATATGTCATTCTGTATATATATAATTTACTTACTCAAATTATCATTAGTCTTATGTATATGTCCTCTATGTAATATTAGATATGTATAATGTCCTCTATGTAATATTATATATAATAATTTGAGTAAATAAAAAAACAGAGACAATGACAAAGAAGTGGGAAAAGAAAAACATTATAGATATATAATATATGTGTATGTGTGTGTATACACACACACACACACACACACACACACACACACACACAGAGGAGAGAGACAGAGTCTCACTCTGTTGCCCAGGCTGGAGTGCTGTGGTGCAATCACAGGTCACTGCAGCTTCAACCACCCCAGCTCAGGTGATCTTCCCACCTCAGCCTCCCAGGTAACTGGGACTTACAAGTGTGGGCCACCATGCCTGACTAATTTTTTTCTTTGGAGAGATTGGGTTTCGCTGTGTTACCCAGGCTGGTCTTGAACTCCTGGGCTCCAATGAGTCACCTGCCTTGACCTCCCAAAGTACTGGGATTACAGAAGTGAGCCACCATGCCCAGCCCATTTTATTTTAGAAACCCTAAATGCTCTAAATGTTTTTTTTTAAAACAGATATTTGGATTTTGCCTTAAAATAGCACAAATTTGCAACTCTGACCAAATTAACCATAACTTTACTGTTATTTTTACCAAATGCATACAATTTTAATTGGTGAACTTGATAATTACCTCTTGATGGCTTTTTCACTCCAGACTAAATTCCCATGCCTCCTCTCCTGATTTTAGTGGCTGAGAATAATTTGTAGAGGGGCTTCCTGGAAGCAGTCCAGTGCAAACAACCTAGAGAGCTATAGTTCTTTATTTAAAACAGGCTATTTAAGTTTAATTATCCTTTGGCTGATCCTCCAGGCTGCAAACTCATTTATCAGTACCCACAGATATAGTATTAAAAAATAAAGCATTTTATGCTTCTTAAAGATTTATTTCCAAAACTATTTTTAAATTTAAATAATATTGAGACTACAATGTGGAAGATTACATTGTTGTCCCCAATTCCTGACCATTCTAGCATTTTCATTCTAGCCATGACCTCATTGTGGATAGAGTGAACTTTCTTATCCCTTGGGTTTGGCCCTGTGAACTTCGGGTTTGGCCCTGTCAACATGGTGAAACCCCGTCTCTACTAAAAATACAAAAAATTAGCTCGGCGTGGTGGCGCATGCCTGTAATCCCAGCTCCTCAGGAGGCTGAGGCAGGAGAATTGCCTGAACTCAGGAGGCGAACGTTGCCGTGAGCCAAGATCGCACCATTGCACTCCAGCCTGGGTAACAAGAGCGAAACTCCGTCTCAAAAAAAAAAAAAAGATTGCCCCTCTTGCAATCTTGTAGCTCTGCCACTGCCATGAGAAGGATATACCTAGCCTTATACACTGGTATGAGGAGGATGAGAGACAGAGAGAGGAATTGTCCCAGATGCCCCAAGGATTTGCAGTGATGGGATAAGCTTCCTCGGCTGCCCCAGCCTGAAGCAGAGTCACATGGAGAAGCCCAAACTACATCAGGAGAGCTCCATTTCACCCACAGATTCACAAGCCTTTTAAATTATTGTTATTTCAGTCTCTGGATTTTGGAGTTGTTTATTACACACTGGTAAATGACTGACTCAACAATCACTTAAATCCCCACACGAGGTAACAGCTGAGAATCTTGGACTTTTCTTTCCGTTTCACCCTCCAAATTCAATCAGCCATCAAATGTTCATTGGATCCCTACAATGTTTCTGCAGTTCTTCTTCCTTTCCATTTTCCCTATCAGTACTCATGCCATCCTATAACACATGTGAACTGTTTCAATAACCTTCAAACTAGCCTTTAATTTCCTTCCCCTCTAATTCATCTTTTTCACTAACATGAAACTGATGTTTTGTTTGTGTTGTTCTCCAAATTATAGACTTGATTATGCATATTCTTGAATATGTGTGTGTGTGTGTATATGCTTGACAACCTTCAATTAATATCTACAAATTCACAGCCACAAATTCTTCTTCTTTCTCCTAATGGATCATAGATGCAAGTTTTTTTTACTGAGTCCAAAAATGGCCTTAATAATGTGTGTTCTTAATATTTACTCCCCATCAATATAAACTGTCTTGTTCCTACCTTTGTGGTAGATAATTTATCATCATCCAAACTCACCTCTGCCATCAAATTCAGACTACCACCCCAAAATGTCTACCCAGCCTTCCCTTCTGCCATTCTTTCTCTACCGCTTTGAATCCCATATGTTAGCACACTAAGCTAATGAATTTCTTAGACAAGTTGTTGCTCTTAATGGTAATGCTCATGAAATGTTCTCTATCAGGCATGCCCTCTTGACCTTAAAGTCAAGCTAAAATATTTCATCCTCTGTGAAGATCTCTTTAACATCTTTTTCCACTCCTGTCCCAAGGTTCTACTCCTCTGGATTTAAAGAGGACTTGAATTTTTTTTTTCCAAGACAGAGTCTTACTCTGTTACCCAGGCTGGAGTGCAGTGGCATGATCTTGGCTCACTGCAACCTCCACCTCCTGGGTTCAAGTGATTCTCCTGACTCAGCCTCCTGAGTAGCTGGGATTGCAGGCATGCAGCATCATGCTGAGTTAATTTTGTATGCTTAGTAGAGAAGGGTTTTGCCATATTGGCTAGGCTGGTCTCAAACTCCTGACCTCAGGAAAACCACCTGCTTCGGCCTCCCAAAGTGCCAGGATTACAGGCGTGAGCCACCCCTCCCAGCTGACTAAATCTTTTTGATGTTGGCAACATTAAATTTACTTTGACCTTAGTGTCTCTTGCTGAAGTATCTCCTCCCTGAAAATGGGACCTTGTCCTACTAACCAAGGCTCACATAGTACTTGGTATTTAATAGGCATAATGCAGATGGGATAGATAAAACTCTTTCTGTGAAACCATCCAAGAGATACTTGGGAGTCTGTGACACAACGTTTTCCTGCTAAATATGATTGTGAAGAGGATTTTAGAGTATTTTACATTAAAAGTCTTTTCACTTCAAAATTATTTAGAAGTCAGAGATTGATGAAGCTCTAGGGATACTATCTTGGAGCAGTATAATTTGTAAAATTAAACAAGTTTTCAAGGTAGATTTTATACATGCTAATTAATACTATTTAAGGAATGCCTGATTTAATGAGAGATTATTACACATATAAAAGTGTTTGAACAAATTAGAGCAATAGAAAAGTAGTACCAAAAAATGTGAATGCAATTATCATTTGACCATGGTTATCCAAAGCCATAAGTATTCAATATTTATTTATGCAACAGAATAAAGAAAATAATTTTCAGTTTTTAAATTAATATAATCATTTCTAGCAAATATAGGTATTACTGCAACAAATTAAATTTATGAATGAAAAGAAATAGGTGTATCATTTAGTAGCCTAAACATAAATAAGCTTGCTATTAAATGGACACATGAATCTATAGATGCTATTGACATCAGAAGTATTATTTAAGTTCAGAAGCAGCACAAAAGTACCACCTATTAAGTTGCAACCACAATTTATGCTTCAAGAGACAAAGCATCATATCTCAGCATGACTTATACTCTCCATGTCACAATCCAACCCTGACAGAATGACCCTATTCCATAGCTCATGGATTCAGGGACCTGCTTTCCATCTCAAGTGACAGATTTGAAGATACAATAGTTTCTCTTAGATAGAGCATTTGTCAATCAAATGTAAGGCTCTGAGTAATGATAGCAGTCCATTGGGGGGCTTGAGAATTCAGAAGATAAGGGCAGAATCAAGATAATGAAGAGTCCAATTCACATCTCTTAGGGATTGTTTCTGAAAAGGTGGGAAAAGAAGAACATCTTAAATATGGTCACCTATTGTCATCAATCCTTTTTCTCTGAATCATTCATATTTCCCCTCCTCTGCTTAATAACAAAGCATAAATTTGTAGCAACAGATTTTCAGTCCCTAAAAAGTGTTTTCCAGAATAGAGTACACAAAACAACCTGCAATGATAGACAAAAAAAAACATTGAGCAGTTTCTATGTATATTTTGTCTCATCCCCTTTAATTCAAATGTTGTATTTGCATATGTTTGTAATAAATGTGTATATTTTATTACAATTATGTGTGTATTTTTTCTAAACAGGTATTGGGGTAAGTTATTATAGAATATTTTGAAAAGAGTACACAATGTAAACCACTTGGATCTGGATAAAATACAATAGGTCTCTTATTTATGTTTGTTTTTAATTCATAAATGATAGTCCATTAAGTTTTACTGTATCCCACATGTGATTATTGCCAGAGCTCTCCCTTGATACCCATCTTTATCCTTTGACTCAGAAGACAAAAAGTTCCATTTCCTATACAAGATCTCTTCAGGAAGAGTGGGAGAGCCTGTAGTTGTTTCTAAAACATATTACAACACAGGACAGCCTTGGCCATAGGGTGGTTTACAGATCATATTATTTAGTATTTGATAAACAAATCTTCACATATATGGACAAGTGGCTTTTTCAAAAAAGTACAAAAAAAAAAAAAGAAACACAAGAGATTGGCACACTTGATATTTTGCCAAGAATAAGCAAAAGCAAGAAACTGACAAAATTAATACTCTTTTTACCCCTGAGATGATCTCACAGTCAGCATCACAGCAAGATATAGATCATGGCTGTCAGACCAGATATGAGAAGGAAAAAGCTAGGTATTCAAATTATTGATGGAACTATTTAATATATGTCATAAACTCATATTACTAATGAAGAACTATGCCCTAAGTTTATATTGTACCCCAGATATTATCTATCCTTTCCTCATCACATTCTATTTAGACAAAATAGAATTCTTTTCTATTTAGACAAAAAACAAAATAAAACATGTTTTTAAAGCAGAGACAAGTTCTCACTATGTTGCCCTGGCTAGTCTTGAACTCTTGAGCACAAGTGATCTGTCCCCTCAGCCTCGAAAAGTGCTAGGATTCCAGGTGGGAGTCATTATGCCTGGTCCTATTCTTTTCTAATTTATCAGTTATGTTTCAAAAGATACGCAACTACTTACACATGTAAATAAATGGTTAAAATTACATAAATAGTATGTATCAATACTTATTTATTATTGGGAACGTATGCTTAAAATTCTTAACACTTCAGGATAAATGATAAAAAATTTGGATACTACAACTCAAGAAAACATAACAAAAACTGTTTTAATGTTCTTTAAAGGGCTGTTACACTAATTAATTACCTTCATAAACTAGGTAAGGGTGTAACTGGTAGAATATTCTAGCTAAGAGGGAGATAATTCTTAAAGCCAATTGAATATTTTACTTTGCCAAAAATTATAAAGCTATTTAACCCCTTGTTATTTCACATTAAGTTAACAAAAACTAAAAAGATCTTAGATAGATTTTGTCTTTTCTCTAAAATCTCTAAGACTGCAAGCTTTTACTACTAAATCCTTAACTTGTAAAAGATAATGATACAAAGAATGTTATTTTTGAATAAGTAAAAAATAACTGATACAGAAAATAAAATTTGTTTTAAAACTGAGCAGGCGGCCAGGTGTAGTGGCTCATGCCTATAATCCCAGCACTTTGGGAGGCCGAGGTGGGAGGATCACGAAGTCAAGAGATCGAGACCATCTGATCAACATGGTGAAACCCTGTCTCTACTAAAAACACAAAAATTAGCTGGGCATGGTGGGGCGTGCCTGTAGTCCCAGCTACTCGGGAGGTTGAGGCAGGAGAATTGCTTGAACCAGAAGGCGGAGGTTGCGGTGAGCTGAGATTGTGCCATTGCACTCCAGTCTGGGTAACAACAGCGAAACTCCATCGCAAAAATAAATAAATAAATAAAACTGAGCAGGCAATTAAAGTACAGAATTTTGACAACACGATGAATGTTTTATTTCCAAAGGCAGTTTATGAAGAACTCATTCTATCTAAACAAACCCTAATTTTTATTTTCTTCAGTGGAGGAAGTATTTATTCAACACACCAATACAAGGGCATGATAAAAATCTCAATAGTATTTCCCAAATGTGTAGACTTTCTAGACATTATTTGGATTACCAAATCCTTTGTGGCCCACCCAAAATCCAGTGTGGCGTGGTCATAAATCATTTTCATTTTGAGTGTATTTTTTTCTCCTACATGTAGCTACTTTTCTCTAGTGGGAAACTTTTCATAATGTTTCCAGTGTGTGTTTTTATTCTGGGTTAAGTGTGTATATAATATGGGGCATGAAGTACAGTCAGGAAAAATGAAAAGATGACATTCTCTTACATCAACAACCTTTTCTGGAAGTACTGGCAATTAGTACCAAAGATTACATCAGCTTCATAACATTCAGATAGTTAAAGAAAAGCACAATATACAATGAGTCACATGACTGAGTCAATCATAAGTTAGAAAGAGCAGTTAACTCTTTATGATATAAAATTGAGAGTTCCTTAGTGAAACATTCCTGCCTTCCTTAATCTCCTCTTTTATTTAAAAGCCCAAACTAGGTTACTTTACTGCTTCTGAGTACCTAACAGACAGATCAGGAAAGAAAAGTAAAGGAATGGAAATTCATAGCAGTAAAAGTGTCTACTAGCAGTTCTCATTAAAAGCTGGATAAGAAGAGACGTTGAAATATTGTGCTAAACAGATTTGAGGTTGATTTCATTATTTGCAGTTCCTATTGTCTCAAATACTAGAAATTAAGCTTTGCTGGTTAGTTATTATGTGATATGACTATAGAGGAAAAAGCGTTTGATTACTCACAATATACACGTGTGCTTGTCTCCAAAACCATTTAAGAAGGTGGCATAGGCTAGAAGACATCAGATAAAGATGTTAGGACAGAACCCAGAGGAATATTATCTCTAACACCAAATAAGAAACATATTACACAAACTACAAGTACAGAATCCTAGGAAGGACACTTGGTCTCCATCTCAGATGTGGAATACAGAATTGCCACACTGAGTGGAAGATCCAGCTACCAGGACCAGCAGCACCAACTGCAGTCCTTTGCTTCTGTCATCAAAACTATGCCCAAACAAGTGGACATAGAACAAGCATGCCACACACTTCTGTCTTGGAGCTCAATGAGGAGTACAACTCTGCATTCCCCACCACCTTCCTTACTTTATTTTCTCAACAGCACTAATACCATCAGCTGTACCATCTATCTGACTCAGTTCTTTGTTTGTTCACAGTTCATCTCTTCCTGTAAAATGTAAGTTTCAGGATACAGGGATCTTTGTATTTGCATATGCTGCCATATAGCCAGCTCCCAGAACCAGATGCAGCACATCATAGGTGCTGCATAAATATTGTCAACTGAATAAATGAGAGCTCCCCCTGTCTGTCCACTTCTATGCCTGTGCACCCAGAGAGTTACTTGGGTCACAATGATATCACAGATGTCACCAAAGGCTTTCACCAAAGTTACAACCTGCACAGCTAGGGAACTGATGGGGAACTCTTCCCCTTTCTACCTCCCTAAATCTCTGTCAAGGAGTATTGAGTAAAGGAGATAGAAGAAGGTAAAGATTTCTCCAGAAGCTGTAACTGTCTGCTTATTCTTGATCCCATCTCAGTTTGTCTTAGCATAAAATAATTGACTATGGGGAAAGCAAAGAAACCTCAATAAGGGCTTGTAAGTCCACACCCAACACTGAAGGCTCACGATAGTGCCATGGCTTTCCAGTACCATCACTTTTGATGTCAGGTGTGAAGGACTGATGTCCATTCCATAGTGCTTCTTACACTGTTCTCCAAGTGTCTGACTTCATTTGGGCTGCTATAACAAAATATCTTAGACTGGATCACTTATAAACAATAGAATGTATTGCTCACAGTTCTGCAGGTTGGAAAGTCCGAAATCAAGGCACCAGCGGATTTGGTGTCTAGTGAGGGCTCACTCCTCCTAGAGAGCACCTTATAAGTGTCCTAACATTGTGGAAGGGCAAAAAAAAAAAAAAAAAAAAAGCTCTCCTAAGCCTCTTTTTTAATGACAATAATTCAGTTCATGAGGGTGAAGCTCTCATGACCTAATGACTTCCCAAAGGCCCACCACTTAATACTAACACTTTGAAAGTTAGGTTTCAATATGGGAATTTTGGAGGGACGCAAACATTCAGACCATGCACATGGCTAAAGGCACTGCTACTTACAATTGCTTAGGCCATGGTTGCCTTCAAAAGGCATTGGGGCTGTCTCATGTCATTATGCTTACCTGTCAGCATGCTGCCATACTACCTGCTAAAGTCACTGGGATAATGAAAATGTACCAGGTGAAGACACCATCACCATGAACTGAAGATGAGGCTGGCCCCCAAGCAAACTGAGATGAACTGGAGTTTCTTACTCTGCTGAATGAAGCAGAGGAAAGCCCTTTTCTGGCTTTGTGGCTGACTACATTTTACTATTTGTGTTTAACAGAGATTTTGTATGTGTGTAAAGACAACTTTATGAGATTTATTTTTTAAATCTTATGTGTCCCTGACCCAAGGGTAACAAACATGGGAAGGGGTTTGGTCCTCTAGTGAGTCTGAGTAACTAATATAATCATTATAGCAGGCATCTATACTTATGTGCCCCTGTGCTAAGTGTCATATGTATACTGTCTTACTAAATTCTGACAACACTCTGAGAAACCAATGTTTAGAGAGGCTGATTGGAGCTGGAAATTTAACCATACCTCATTTCTAGTTGCTCCTCCCCTCTGATTCAATACATTAGTCCCAACTACTCACAGTTCCTAAGTGCTGAGGTCTATTAGTCTTCCCATTTTGCAAAGGGAAATCAAGCACTGTGAAGCTCAAACGATTTGCCCCACACAACATAGTAAACTGTGGAGCTGGAAGAGCTGAGACCCAAAACCTACACTTTTAATCACTTTACTACACTGCTTCCTGATGTCTCCTCATACAGATGCTGGGAAAAAACATACAACATACATTTGTAGAGCATTTTAAAATGTACAAAACTTTCTCTCACACATTATCCCATCCCATTTGAACAACTTCTGCAGTCATTATTTTAAACCAGAGACTAAGGCCTCCACATAAAATGACTTTGCAGGCAGCATCAGACACAGGTTTTCATAGAACAAACAGAAACCGCAACTGAACTCATGGCTACCATTTTCCTCCTTCAGTCTAGACTCACAGAGGCTAGAGACCCTTTTGGAACAATGGGAAAACTTCTCCGATCTCTCTTTATTTGCTCTCTACTTGTTCGCCATTTCATAATCATTGCTGTCCAACTCATCTCCCGACTACTAGATAAATTACAACGTAATTAGGAAATTTTCTGTTGCATTACACTAGGTTAGCTCTGGGCTATACCAACTGCCAATAAAAAAAAAGTCACCTTTGTCTTAAGACTTTTTAGCTAGTATTTTTTACAAGTGCCCTCATACCTACTGTTTTAACTTTAAAAAATTGTGAAAATGTATTTGATGTGGAAAATGCCCTATTTTTGACTGAGCACAGTGGCTCACCCCTATAATTTCAGCACTTTGGGAGGCCAAGGTGGGCAGATCACTTGAGCAGGAGTTTGAGACCAGGCTAGACAACATGCTGAAACCCCATATCTGCAAAACATACACACACACACGATAAATTAGCTGGGCATGGTAATGTGTGTCTATAGTCCTAGAGGCTGAGGGAGGAGGATCACCTGAGCCCCAGAGTTCAAGGCTGCAGTGAGCTGTGATGGCCCCACTGCATACTCCAGTCTGGGCAACAATGAGACCCTAAGAAAGAGGAAGGAAGGGAGGAAGGGAGAAAGAGAGGCAGGGAGGGAGGGAAGGAGGGAGGGAGGGAGGGAAGCAGGGAGGAAGGAAAGAAATGCCTGATTTGTCATAGATTGGATGCTGAACTGGTGAAACTGGGGATCATTCTCATAATCACAAACCTAGGATTCACCTTTTAGACAGAGAACATTGCCAAGGGCTCATTTTATTCTAAATATTAAATCAAGGCTGGAGAAAGACCTAAGAATGCAATTTCTTGGATAATTATGTCAGCCCCTACCACAAAAGGGGTACAAAATAGGCTGAAAATCTTCTTGCAGCAGCTGAAGTTTATCTACCAAAGCAGAGGACTCTGAGCCAGTGCATTGCTTGGTTCTGGTTTCTCATGTGTGCATCCCTGCAGATAGGCAATTGTGTTTTGATCAACAGATACCATTTTAGCAAATGCTTTTGGTGTCTATTTCCCACCAGTTTGGGCAAGAAGACAGTCACTCCAGGGTAGACAGTGCCAAGCTCATTGCAGAGATCATTGTGACAAGAACAGAAATACGTAGCTGATCCAGGCCACCATGGGCTGCAATGAGGCTTATAGAAGCTGCCTTGTGGGCACTAAATGCATGACAAAAGAAGGCATGTTGTCTCAAAAGAGAGCACCCACGTGACTAAGCAATCAGGATAGGGCTTCAAAGAGCAAGGAAACAGACCTTTTACTTCCAGTGAGTCAGATCTTGTTTTAGAATCACTCATGAAGGGTTTCTCGTGTAATTATTTGCATAGGAGACCACAATATGGCTCCTTCTTACATGTCCCATTCTTGCATACTACACTCCAGCCTCTTCTACTTGTAATTCCCAGAGCAAACCGACCTCTCTTTGCTCCCTGACCTTTGCACGTGCTGGAATACCCTTTTTCACCCCTCCTATACCCCTGAGTCAGACTAACTCATCCTGCAGGTTTCATCTCTGAGATTATTCAGAAAACTTTTTAGGACAAAATTAACCCCACCTTAACATTAGGGAAAGAAAATTACTTACATTCTGTATTTTTATTTACTTATATTCTAATTATGTTTGTCTCTAATTTGAAGGATTCCATCAGGTTTGCCATTACCTCCCCAGAGCCTAAACCAGTACCTAGAACATAGTAGTAATCAACAAATACTGAAAGGACAAATAAACAAGATAAAAGAGAAAACTTAACAGATTATAGTATATGTCATTCTTTCTTGGGACACCAAGACTTTTGATAAACCAAATAGAAAGAGAAATCAGTTGATGAGCTCTAAGTGGTTGAAGAAGAGATCTATCTGTCTCCTGAAGTCTGACTACTCTAAGTAAGTCTGAGAACTCCGTGCAGTTAGAAGATCAGCACTGACACCAGGAAGCACTCAGTCAGGAGTAAACCACAGTGAGAAGCCAAACTGGGAAATGCAAATGGGAGAAATAGAACTAGTTTACAGAAAAATAAACAGATTCAAACTAAAATAAAAACAACTTTGGACTCAACTTTATCAACAGATATATACTGTAAGAGCTACTTTGTAATAATATGTATATCATCTAAATACATTTATTCTTAACAGATAATAACTAAAATACATTTAAATTTCATTCCATTAGCAAAAATTATGGCTGAGTGCAGTGGCTTACGCCTGTAATCCCACCACTTTGGGAGGCCAACAAGATAGAATCACATGAGGTCAGGAGTCCAAGACCAGCCTGGTCTACAAACAAATTAGCCGGGCATGGTGGCGCATGCCTGTAATCCTAGCTACTTGGGAGGCTGAAGCCGGAGAATCGCTTGAACCCAGGAGATGGAGGTTGTAGTGAGCCAAGATCGTGCCACTGCATTCCAGCCTGTACAACAAGAATGAAACTACGTCTCAAAAAAATAATCATAATGATTTTATGGTCCTGATAAGATGCAATTGGAAAGGCTCCCTTTTTTGGAGACAGTCTCATTCTATCTCCCAGGCTGTAGTGCAGTGGACCAATCACAGCTCACCGCGGCCTCCACCTCACCAGGCTCAAGCAATCCTCCTACACACCCTTCCAAGTAGCTGGGAC